GGAATCCAATAGGATTTTATCGGATCCTATCAGATCTTACAGAATTATCGTTGGATTCCGACACTGAGGATCCGACATCGATTCCTCGACCCGGAATCCAATAGAATTGTATTGGATTGTAGGGTATTTCCAGGTTCCTATCGGATCAGTCGACCTGGGCGGCTGTATTTTATATGATACACAATCAAAATCAACTCATAGTGTTCGTCCATTTGTTGATTGACAATTAAAATCGTATGGATTAACATTAAATGAATCAATTTTCGTAGTTTCGAACAACGAAAACAAAATGCGAGCTGCATTTANATATATTCTGATACTCGCTTTAATGGAGCATTTTATATGTTGGAGGTATTCCTTGATGTTTATGATGAATTAACTGGTGTTATAAACAATGCGTTTATGGCAAATTTAGCGGCAATCGATAAAGAATTATTAGAGGAATTATGTGCTTTCCTTAAACTTTTTGATCAAGCTATTGATGAATTAAGTGAAGAAGAAAAACCAACTATGCACAAAGTTATTCCTATTCGACAGTTATTACTTAATCATTGTGATTTAAAATATGAAGATAGTGGTGAACTTAAACAATTAAAATGTTTCGTTGGTAAGTAAGCATTGTCTTAGCGCGAACACTATCTTGTAAACTTTTATTCTTGATATTATTTTGGATAACCGAATAGCTATCTTTAGAAATTTCTTTCCAAAGACGTCTACTTTATTTTTCTGAAGATCCAAAAGAGATGTTAATCAAGAATTTGATTCTATTTCTTTTTTAATATTTTCACGGGAACGTATTAAATCTGTCTGGATTGTTCAAGATCAACATTATATGTGTACACTATACTTCATCCTTCGTTGAAGCATTTTGAAATAGCTCCGAATGAAAAATCTAAAGCCATTGCATTAGTAAGACAGGAATTATTAAAACGTTCATTACCATTATCAAACAATATTACTGCTACTGATCATGAAGGAGTAGCTACGAATTCATTAATTATGATTGATAAATCAAAACTAATTACTTCTAATTATTTATTAACTCGTTGTTTTGATCAACTACCATTAATTCCAAAACCAGTTTTAACACCAACAAGTGAATTAGATAATTACGTGTCATCAGATATACAACTTCGTGAAAATGAAGATGTACTATTGTTTTGGAAAGAAAATACCGAATTATTTCCAATATTATCATCGATGGTACGTGATTTATTTGCAATACCAGCTTCAAACACAACAGTTGAAAGGTTATTCTCATTATCAAAAAACACTGTTACAGATTGACGGACTAGTTTAAGCGAGAAAAAAGGTAATGAATTGCTGTTTCTTCAAAAAAATCTTCTTTCTTTACAACGAATAGATAAAGATGCATCAATTAAAAACAAGGAACAATTAAAAAGAAAAATATCGACAACTAATGATGAACAAGATTTACTTATTGAAGGCAAAAACAATTCTTTATCATCTACAATGACTAAACGAACAAAACAAAATAGTGACAGTGATTATTCTTCGAATGATATTGATGATCTCATTGATAATAGTATTGAATCAGATGAACCATTATTTGAACAATAGATTTATAATGTTAGTCAGATTTTTATATTTTAATCTGGAAGACTTTTTTGTTGTTTTTCTAATATTTTTATATGTATAAATTAAACATTACTTTTTGAATAAATGTAGATTATATTTAACTTCAAAAATATTTATATAAATATATATATATATATAATATTCCTTTGGACCCGAAACTGAATCTGAACCAGAACTCGGACCCGATCAAAGTAAATTTTCTGAGCCGGACCCGATCGGATCCGACTCCGGCTCCGGCTCCGGTTCCGGTTCCGGTTCCGGGTACGTTTGCAGGGCTCTAGTTCAAGCATCTCTTATCTGATATGAATTTCTAAACACAATCAAATAGCTTGAGCACTGTAAAAAAAAACGTAGAATAAAAAACGAAAAAAGGGTTTATGAAAGTGCAACGTGTAGCAAACCCTTTTCAACCGTGTTAGGTAGGGGCGCTATCTGCGACCACTACCTCTTCGTCTTTCTGTTATCTCTCTATTGGTCAAGAGGCCTAAGAGGAGTCAGTAGTTGAAGTGATTCTAGTTGAAGTCGGTTTGAAGAAATAAAGAGTTAGGTAAACGTAACTACCTAACAATTGGTGCCGTGACCCGTCGTGATACTTTTCGACCACAATTCGTCGAACACGATAAGTTTTTTTCCCTCGATTCATTTTTCTCTCTCTATTCCTCGTCCTACCCGGTGTTTTTCTCTTGATGTTATATCAAAATTAATGTTGATCTTTATGTTCGTTATCCTCAACTTATTGTTCTTACCGGTGTTCTTGTTATGATCCTATTGTTTCCTCGTACTTTATTTGAAATATACATGTTTATTGGTGATAATCCAGTCTCCTCATAAATTATTTCAAC